GATGAACAGAGTTTTGTAAGATCTGTTCTATTACGATATTCAAAAAAATAAAAATTTCAACGAAACTATTACGATATTCAAAGAAATAAAAATTTCAACGTAAATTGTTATTATTATTATTATTAATATATTATTATTAATCAAATGTCATCATTATTGTATTTAATTAAAAATTTTAGTGTCGGCAAATAAATTTAAGCACCGTATATATGTACAGTACGTACCTGATTTTGGTGGCGATACTGGGTGGGTCATAATGCTTCTAATATATTGAAAAGTATCACGGTACTAATCAAGTAGTAATTTATTACGTTCATGATCCAACCAATGATCATGTTATATGATAAACTCACCTCTTTTTAGTATACACAGGACCCCCGGGGTACTAATTTCTACTAAAAAAATTGATAAAATATTTTCGACAAGCCGCAATTAGTTTCTACTGTCGATAGCTTCTATATATTTAATTCCGGTTTTTAATTTAGGTTATGGCATTTATTATAGGTTTTGGTTTCAGCTTTGTGTTACGGCATGAGTTACGGCTATTCTATATACTAAAAAATCGACGTCGAAATAGTTTCGGCACAGCCGCAACTAGTTTCTACGGCATGTATCAACACCCCCATATGAAGTTTTTAGAATGTTGCAAACTCACGAACTATATGTCAGTCACATTCCATGAATTTTTTTCCCGTGCCCTAAACCTATACATGGGTGTCTAAATTGTTTCTCTTAATAAAAAATTATTTCGACATTTAATCTGGCAAAATTAATTTTTCTTAGTGGTGAAATTAATTTTCATAGTTGTAGAAATTTTTAGTGAATTTATTTGAATTCTTTATGTCAAAATACATTAGCTGTTAGGTAGTATAGTTACTTGTGGAATTCATATAAAAAACTAGCACTATCAAAATTTTTGTCGAAATTACTTTTTTAATAAAAATCATTTAGACACTCATGTATACCTAAACCCTAATTGTTTGGTATATACCTGCTTTCAAACAGTGATTTTCCCAGCAAATGACCCATTTATAAAAAGGATCGGCATAAGAACCAATTTAATCTGACCTTAAAGTAGTCGCGCTCTATACTCATTTATGTTTCGGGACAAATTGTTTTAAAAAATGGTCGTAATTCCAATTTTATTTTTAGTTCTTAAAAATATTTAAATTTAATTACATTATTATTTGTTCATGATTTTAAGCTAAAGATTGATGTGACAAGTTGGGACTTCCAAGAGCGGGACAGGACAAGGCCAAAAAGGTTCAGGACAGTCAAAATATAAAACATTTATGGAGTGTTTCGGATTTATTTACGGTGATTCGCAAAAGACGGTATATTAACGGTAGATTTACCGAAATTATTATAAATACTTGTGCACATCGTCAGATCATTTCACTGATGAGTGGAAAAAATAGCGATATAATTGTTGCTCGAAGGCGTCTTGAGCACTTTAGTAAGGCGTTAAAATCACAGGATCATACAAGCAATGATGCTTCTGATTCCGAAAGCTTTGGTAATTCATAATTGAGATTGAAAGAATGGTGATTTTTTTTTAAGAAATCGATTAATTTTTGGTATTGAAAATAGCAACAATTCGCATTGGCGATGTTTCATTAAGAATTTCGAAACCAAAAAATCCAGAATTAGTACCATATTGTGTTAATCCTTTATTCGAAGATTCACATGTACGTTTTGAAATTGATTCCATTCATTATATCTGCTAAATTGACAAGATAACATTCGTTTCATATCTAAGCATACATAATGTTTACAATCTTAATAAATAATACAATCTTTATATTGCTTTTCTTTATCAATCGACTTTCTTCAGGAAGTTCTCCGGCATTTAAGATGGTAAAAACACTTTAATTCGCCGTATAATTTTCAATACCTCAAACAGTGATAAAAATATACAATATTATATGGTCTCCAGGATGATGCAAAAAGAAAAACTTGGTCAAGATATTTTTCTTATTGGGTAAGTATCATACGCGAATCAACTTTGCAACATCTTTACTATTGGTTCTATTAACCTTTATGCATTTTTAGTTCTCCAGGCCCATTAAGAAGAAGTCTCGTTCTTAGATATGCTCAACTTACGGGCAGAGAAATTGAATACGTAGCATTGTCTAAAGATTGCACAGATTCCGATCTTAAACAACGTCGAGAGATTTCTGGTGGAACTGCTTATTATGTAGACCAGGCATGTATCAGCGTTTAAAATAAATATATATATATAATTCAGGAGCGAACTTTTAATTTTTTGGTTAAACAATTACTTAGGCATGCGTACGTGCTGCTATACATGGGCGAATTTTAATATTAGATGGTATTGAAAAGGCAGAAAGAAATGTACTTCCAATTTTAAATAATTTATTGGAAAATAGAGAAATGTTACTTGAAGATGGTAGATTTTTAGTACATTCAAAGCGTTACGCCTCTCTTATCGAATCAAATTCAAAAGTCAGTATGGATGGTTTAAAATTAGTTAAGGTATCTGAACGTTTTATTGTGATGGCATTGGGTTTGCCAGTTCCTCCATATATTGGTCATCCTTTAGATCCCCCGCTTAGGTCTCGTTTTCAATGTAGAGACGTTAAGCAACCTGAATTTGATTCTCAAATAAAACATTTACGTAAATTAGCTCCAAATGCTACTTCAGAAATAGTGGAACGATTAGTATCTGTAGCTAATGTTCTTGGAAATATGCAGTATGACAATAACGGTGGAATCTCTATTCCTGAATTCCCAGTTTCAGTTGATACGAGTGTATTAGTGTTGCAAAAATTTCCGGATATTAGACCGCGCTTTTTAATCGATTTGTTATACCCATGGCCATTATTTCACAGGTGAAAATTTAAATTTGATTAATATGAGCTGCAAGAAATTTATACATTTGGAAGGTTTAAACATGATTTAATAAATGCTTGTAAAATTTTTCACAATTAAATTTTGGTCCTCTTCTTAGTAATGCTGGACAAAACAATGTCATCGCAGCAACTTATCACCGCTTTGGAATGCTTGGATTGGATTTTGAAAAAACTTCTGCAAATGACATTAAACAAGACGAAACTATTTTTCAATGTATGCCAGGATACAATATTAAAAATATCCAACTATCAAACGATATAGAAAAAACTGTTGGCAATGAACTTCCTATATATAAGTTTGAGCTGGATTTCCAGCACATGGACTATAATAAAATTCACCGTATTAACGTTTTTGGCGGCTCCGATGAACTCTTGGCTGATTTCTTTGTAGAGACAAAATATCACCAAAATATTTTTAATGCAATGTTGATTGCACATTCAGTTGGTGATTTTTGTCTTATTGGTGAAAAAGGAGTTGGAAAGAGTGCATTGATGAGACATTTTGCAGCAAAGCTTGGGTAAATGTTATTTTTTTTATTTTTTTTGCCATTTTATTGCATTAGCTTACCTTCAAATTAACATTCGTTATTCCTAGCTACAACATTGAATATATTCCCTTATATAAAGATATGTCTTCCCGTGATCTCCTCCAACGTCGTAGTACTACTTTCGCCGGTGATACTGTATGGGAAAATTCACCTTTGGTGCGGGCCTCGATTTCTGGACACCTTGCTGTTCTAGATGGAATTGATACACTTTCTGGAGGAACACTTATGGTGTTGGAGAGGCTAGTTAAAGAACGTGAACTTTCTCTCCCTGATGGAAAGCAGTTGATTCATCCTGCTAGATATGAAAGGCTGATTCATAAACATGGATTGACTCATGAGTCGTTGGAAAAAAAAGGGATATTTGCAATACATCCAGCTTTTCGAATTGTGGCCTTGGGTCGTCCTGGCTCTTGGCTCACTCCAGAAATTGTTGCAATGTTCCAATTTATTGTTATTTTTCCATTAGATTATTTGGTATAGAAGCATTTCATCTTTATTGATTTTTTGAAGTTGATTTTTTGTAAATTCTCACTATCACATAATTAATTACCTAGGAAGAGACCCAAATTCTTGAAACATTGTCTCCAGGAATAGACGCCAAAAAACTTTCACTCCTTTTGCACTTCGTCAATCGTCTCCGTCAAGATACTGGAGAAACGGTGAAAACTTTATCCGATGCACTTTCTACACGGTAAATTTATAATTTATTCTAAACAAAGTTAATTTTCAGGCTTCATAATTCGGAATCAATTATTATAAAACGCACCTATGGTGGTTTTGCACCTATTATATGTTTTTATTATGTTTTTTAAAATTTTCTAA